CTCATTATTATGCGACCAATTCTCAGATACCCGGCCCTTACTTCAGTCCTGTGCCCAACGGAACGCCTATTGCTATGACTTCTCACAAAGAGATGAACAAAATGAGAGCCTCGGGTCCGGGTGTAGGTGCCGGCAAGTCCTCCAAATCCAATCATAACCATAACGACATCAGACAACCATTTTATCCGCCTTCCAATCCATATCCAGAGGTATTTGTTTAGCATTTGTTTTGCATTTTATTTGTTTTAAAACATTATTTCATTCAATCATTGATTGAAAGGTTCCGCAACTGATTGATCCAAACCGACCGCCGGTGACCGACGGAATGGGTCCCCAAATGTTTACTCCGGGATATCCAGGATTTCTGCCACACGGGAGTCCATTCCCGCCGCCACCCATGTATATCATCGCCACACCTGAAGGTTCTTTCATCACATATGGCGTCCAAATGGCCACTCCTGGAGTGCAAATGCCTCGACCTTCGAGCCCACACACTGTTCCTAACGTCGACTCAGACTCAGCCAACGCGTGTAAAGTGCCTTCAAATGATGGTAACGGTTCCAACTGTTCCAATGAGCCTCTCGATGACGATATTAATGATGTGAGCGATGAGCCCATCGACGAACTTGCGCTCGAATCCAATGATTACAACGAAGACAATGAGATGAATGAAACGGAAACTCATAATCATTTAAATAATGAGACAAACGTTGAATTTAGTGAAACTGACGTGAATTGTGTGAATCCTGTGAGTCCTGTGAGTGAACCGGAGATTAAAGTGATTGTCAAAGACGTGACAAACACTACAAGTGCTGCCATTTCGACGCAAACTACTAGTTCAACGACAGCGGCCGCACCAGTGGTCTGGGGCTCCAGTAGTCAGAAATCGTGGGCCGACCTCTTCAAAGACGGCTCAGCTATTCACTCATCGACTCTCTCATCGCAAACATCCGGTGGTGCGACCACTGGCCCTATAATAGTCAGCCATAACTACAATAATGTGAATCTATCTGAAAGTGACAGTCATCTGAATTCTAGTGGTGTTATCAGTGAAAGTGAGGCTCAAATCCAATGCATTCCTATGCGCAACGACTCGTTCGCCAGAAAATTATCCAAAAAAGTCAAAGAACTCCATTTAAAGCACTTTTTACCATATCTTATACCATCGGGTTTTATCAATCGCGGCAATTGGTGTTACATTAACGCCGTATGTTTTCACTCTTGTTA